GCTCGGACTTGGGGGGGAGGGAGGGTAAGGGCATCATACGTAACCTAATCATCTGTACCCCCATAACATGCTGAAATAAAAAAAAAGATATATGGACATTAGATGACAGCAAAATATAAATATATATTGTAAGATGATAAGTGAATTGTGAGGAAAAAAAAGATCTGATGATCTCTCCTCAGCAAAAAGCAATTCTGTCAGCAGATGGCCTGTGACCTGTAACTCTTCCCTGAGTCTCAGGCTACCGGCCTGTCCCTCAGATTTTAGATCACCACGCCTGCTACCATGTGAGCCAATTCTTAAACAGACAGATATACACATGCACATATCCTGTTGTTACTGTTTCTCAGGATAACTCTTATCAATTTCGATTTTGGTTCTGGGGAAGACTCTAGAGAAACAAAATCTTAAGGATGAGTTTGCTGAGTTGGTTTTGAAGTTTCTGGAATTAGCTCTGTAATTTGATTACATGTAAAAACACTAGTGATGCTGTTTCCAGTCATGAATAGAGCACTGATAGTCCCTGGCATGATGTGGCCATAGGGATATGCAAAATATCAGTATTGGATCCTTGCGATCAAACACGTATGAGAGGCAAGGAACTCGGGGAGCATGTTTTTAATACTTTTGAAAATTTTTGTCAAACTAATGAGTATAATGAGATTGGCGGGTTGTCACTGGACAAAGTAGGGGGGAAAAAAGAATGAGCTCAGAAATTCAAACTCTCAGCTGAAGCACCACTTAAATGACCTGACTCTGCTATGTCTGCCCTGAAAGAGACTCTCGTCATCGGTAGCCACTGGGCCCAGATTGCTGCAAATCAAACCCAGAACCTCATCCTTCAAGTCGCCGAATTACAATGTAAATTTAATCCCAGTCTCATAGAATGTTTACCCCACACACGAAGGCGTTGGTTGGGAAGGAGTGGGGTCTTAAAGTTGGCGTGGGGATGTGCGGGAAGACCCTGATGATGCTTGACATTGAGCCCCCAAATACTGATTAGCTTCTTTTTCAAGAGACGCAGCCTCTTCACCGTGGCTGAGGATATTAACACTGCATTGTCTGAGGAAATATTACCAGCCTCCCTGATGCAGTTTCCATGTGAGACAGAGATGATTCTCCTAAGGACTCTCCTCTACTTCCCCTCTTCACTTCTAGACCTATAACGAGACTCAAGTCCCAGTTGGGTTTTAAGGTGAGACATCAAGGGTAACCTGTGAGGAGATGTGCTACACTCCAATGTAACTACTTAAGTTTTCTAAGTTATCCACACAGAAATTTTGGTATCACATGTGAGAATGAATATTACTGGTGTGGGTTACTGGTGAAAGGAACGTCAAGTTGAGTGAGGCTGAACGTATTGATATGGGACCACTAAGCTGAGATTCTGCGTTGAATGTTGCATCTCGGGGAGCTGGACTTGGTTCTAACAGTGTGTCTGGTTGATGTGACTCAAAAGTAACTCAAATGTGGCATGAGCCCCACCCCAGGGCCGGGACAGACTCAGAGACTCATGTGCCAGTCAGATGTCCAAGGGGCTGTGCCATGAGGAGCACTGACACTCTCCTGGGAAACAAACATGGTGCCTGCAAACTCTAATCCCCAGGTATGGCTCTTATGTGACAGGTTAAAGGCTGATTGGTGCTGCTGCCCTGAGGCAGTCGGGTCCCCCACCTGGAGGACCAACACTGACCACACCCTCCCTAAAGGGACAATAAGTACGAAAATGCCCAGATACACAGGAGTCTGCAGGAAGAAGGTGCAGCTGACCTGGACCAACACCCCCAGGTACCCCATAATTGAGACCAGCCTGGCTGGAATTGCCTTTATTCAGATGTCCTCATCTTAAAAAAATGTTAAATTCACAAATTAGTAGAACAGGGGAGTTTGGAAAGGGGACTAGTGATTTTTTGGGTTATCTCAAATGTAAACCTTTTATATGCTTCTCAAGAATTTGAATCATTCATAAAATAATAAAGTAAATAGAGTGCAAATAAATCAAGGGAAGGTATAAAGAAGGATGTGAAAATTAACAAACGTGGAAGAATGAACAAAGTGGAAACAATTCCCATTCCAAATAGTTATGAAAGTTATCATTTCTCAGGTCAAGTAATAGTTCCTCATAAGAAAGAAAATAAAGGGGCCTGATACTGTTATGAGTGGAAAATTGGTTAATCCATCCTT